ATCAATTCAATGCTACTTATATTTTTATTCGGTATTATGACGTTGCTGCCGTCCGTAAACATTTGAATCTGTAATTTTTGCTTTGGTTCGGCTTCCTGATCGAAATTTATGCTCTAATTGCCTTAATTTATGGGCCACAGACGACCGAGAAGAGGATTTTCCTCGATTTTTGCGCATCATATTTTTGTTTTATATATTATGTATATGGTACCATGGAATTTATTTACGGGAGGCACTTCAGTGGGTGTGTGTATGCGATCGCTCGTTCGCTTGCTCAGTGCTCCAAATTGCAAATATATATACGAAGAACATAAGTCCATATCATTAATAATTTATATCATCATTATTATTATTATCATCATAAAACATTTATAACTTTAAGCCAACTTTGCTTACGAAAAACGAACAAGTCATAATTTGCTGCTTTCAGTAGTGCTTATGCTCGTGTCGTTTTGCTGTTGTTGCTGCTGCCGTTGTTGCTGTTGTTGCTGTTCGTACGCATTTCCATGCACATGTATTGCTGCGATGGCAGTGTGCTTAAGAACTTTTGCTGCAATTTAAACTGTTTGGATGTTTTGAGCTCAAGTTCATATTCGGTGTGATTTTAAATATTTCGGTGTGCGAAATCACTTGCACACACACCCGCACCAACTGAAGACGAACACACGGGATGTTGGAGCGAGCGAGCGAGCGAAACAGAAGCACATAAATAGAAAATGCTGAAATATTTGTCTGCATTATGATGAGTTTGAAAGCGATATGCTGACGTTCTATTATTTCCTTTTTGCGTCGATTCTTCGCTTATTACTTTTATTATGATTATGATTTTTTCTGCCATTCACTTCGGGGTGCTCGTTTCGGCTGATGATTTTGATTTCTCTCTTCTTTCTTGCTTTTTTTTTGTTCGGTCTTTGGTGTTGTATTTTATGTGGACGTGCCGAGTGTAAATTTTATTTACGTGGATGTTGTGAGTATTTTCCATTTGGCGGCGAGAAACTAAAGCACAAAAAAAAGCACAGCCGAAGAAAGCGTATCGGTGTAGCGCTTATTCCATTTGCTAATAAATAGATTCTGTGTGTGTGCTCCGAAGAACGGTGCAAAGAATATTTGGTTCGGAAACGGAAAATTGTAAAATCTCTTGCATAGCAGCAGCAAAAGATGTAACGGCAGCAGCAGCCGTAGCAGCAGTTACAAACGCTGAAACGGTAACGGCATTACAACAACATCGTAAAAAACATATTATTCAGACAATCGAGCTGTCAGTTACATTCGTACACACACATATATTTTTGTCCCTTTTGTATGCCCTCTGCGCTCAAATCTACAAATACTATTATCTTCGAACTTGGTTCTTTCGTGGCGGTGGCTGGCTCGCTTTTTTTTTATCGTATACATATATATATATATATAAACATATTTTATTTTTGGTCGCTGGTGGTGGTGGTGGTGCTGCTGCTGCTGTTGTTAACCCCCTTGCCTTAAGTCGAGTGCCGTGTGCTCTATTTTTACTCACCATTTCGTCCGTTCGCTTCGGAAACCTGGATCAATATGGAGAGAAAATTTCGGGTCGTCTGTGGTAAACATTCACATTTCATTTTTGCCGCTTTTTGCATACATGATAAATGTATGGGAGCAAGAGAAAAACCGAAAATATTGCATAAAATATTATCCATGCTGAAAATTGAGTGGCAACGTTTTAGTATGGCTATGCCATTTACATAATCCTTGTCATTTTCTTCTCGACGATTTTCTTTCTTTCTTCTTCTTCTTTCTCACAAACATGAATTAGCACACAAAAACCAATACACATGCTGAAAGGTTGATCCCTGTGTAATCCATTTATTTATCACTCTAGAGCAGGTATCAAGTATATGACCTGCGGAATGGGAAAGAAGAAAAAAAGTCATGAAATTAACCAAAGAACAATCAAAATCGGAGAGTTTGAATGAGTTCAAGTGTTTTTTACTTTTCCGCACACGAAGTGTGTGAGAAAAGTATAGCGATCGACGTGATAAAAAGTGTGCTAATTTTTGTTGTGTCCACGATAACTTTCGAACCGCTCAAGCGATTTCGCTCAAATTTGGCCAGGAGTCACAATTAGTAAATATCTTGGATGTATCAAAAGTTGGGCCAAATTGGACCAGTTCATCTGGTATTTTTGGGACATCATAGAAAATCACCCAAGGGTCCCCCCTTGGATTATGTCGAGAAAAAAAATGTCTTCTTTCATCAACCTAGAGTGGATTGTTGTATCGTTCTCACATAGTTTTATAATATTAGGCAGTGTTAAATGGTTTATAACATGATGGCCGACCATGATGGCCCAAAAACTACGATTTTTGGTTGTGTCCACGATAACTTTCGAACCGCTTAAACGATTTCGCTCAAATTTGGCCAGGCGTCACTATTGGTAAATACCTTGGATGTATCAAAAGTTGGGCCAAATTGGGCTAATTCATCTGGTAATTTTCGGATGTCATAGAATTTCACCCAAGGGGGGACCCTTGGATTTTTTTGAATTTTTTTTTTTCTTGTCATCATTTTTGATTTGTTTTAACACGATTTTATCATGTTAATCCGTGTTAAATGATTTATAACACGATGGCCGACCATGATTGACTTTTTTTCTATATTTTTTTGAATTTTTTCTTCTTCATCAACCTAGAGTGGATTGTATCCATTCCATTTTCAGGCTTTTTTAGGTGATTTTTTTATCGTTAGTCGCGGTTAAATAATTATTCAATCATAGTGGTTTTTTGAAAAAAAAATTCAATAAATCTCTTTGAAAATGCTCCCATCAACTTTAAAAAAAATACTTGTGCGGAAAAGTCCGTTTTACGCTCGTAAAACTTTTTATTTTTCTGTGTCCTCCTTCAAAAATGAAAAAGCAAGCTAGAACAAAATATAAATAAAGCGATCAAATCCATTCGATCATCGTTTCGATCAATTCGCCTTTTGTTCCAAATCAAAATTCACTTCACATTCGATTTGTTTTTGTTCCCTTCGGTTTCGTGGAAAATCATTTGGTCGTCTCGAACACACTCAAAACTCGCAAATCGCATTCCATAACGTGGTGTTTATCATTATTATCGCATTCTTGAGGCAATCCACATTGAAAATTGTTTATAAATCAATTCGATATTTCCGATGGGAAACGAGCAAAAAATTGAAATCGATAATCATAAACAAGTTTTTTTTTTATCACCACTTATTCAATCACAACGCAATGTGACATTCAACGTGATGATGGTTGGTGACTAGCAAATGGGGCCATTGAAATATGAAAATTAAATAAAAATGGAGAAAAGCAGATAATGGGAAAATTTTCCCGAAAAAAAGGCAAAGCAATAAAACATTCGGTTTTATTTCGAAATAGGAATATTTGGTATGGTTCTCATTTTTTTTTCTCACTCTTTCTCTCTTTCCCTGCTGCTGTTCTCGTACCCGAGCAATAGCAACGACGACGACGACGACGGTGGCAGCAACAGCAGCCGTAGCAGCAATTTGCTCTCGACAGCAAATACGCCACGAGTCAATTTAACCACGCCTCTTCGGCAGAAATCTCCCGAAATAGAATTTATGCTCGACGAACAGTGTGTGTTTGTGTGTCTCAGTGGTTCGATTCGGTGGCATAACAATATATGTACATCCATGCTCACTGCGATTTTGCCATGGTTTGTGCATGTGTGTGTGCGCGCGCTTTACCCTCTCTATTTTAGGGGCGCATTTCATCGTTTCCTCCGATGCAAACTTGTGATTCGTGGCTGTGTATGTGGCTTGTATAGCTTTCATCGGCGATCATCATCATCGTCGTTGTCCTCGTCTCTACACGAACACGACAAATATGCACCATGATTTCTGTTTTCATTGCAACAATTCTAATCGGAATTCATTCCTTTTTATTGGCTTTTCATTCCTTGGCTGCGCTTGCAGTCTGAAACTTGGATTTCTTCACTTTTGATGAGATTTTATTGGAATTTATCGCGATTTAGCAATCGCTTATTTGGCATTCGGTTTTCTTCGAATTCAATCAATTTCGGAGCTTGAGGTTGAGTGATAAACTTCCGAAGTGGACATTTTGTCTTTCCTTCTATTTTGAATCTTGTATATATTGATCAAGATAAGGGATGATTGAGACATTTCCAATGATTGGTTTAGTTGTGCCTTGGCATCAAACGACAACTTGTCAATTTTCAGCAAAAGAATTTGCCATTATGTAGTCAGAGCGTATTATAATTGGCAAAAGCATATGAGTGCATAGCTCAACATTTCAAACGTAAGAAGACACACATAAGCGATTCGAATACAAACACGCGCCGGCCGAAATGAGACGAGAAGACAGAGAGCGAGCACAAAACATTCCACTTAAGTGAAATAAAAAGGTAGGAAAAATAAGGGTGGGTTTTATGTATATATCGATCTCTATACCGTGCTCTTCATCCAATTTATTCGGCCGAAAGAGCGAGAGCTGACGAATATCATATTCAAAAGGCATGAATCCGTATGCTTTAGCCTTCTCTCTTCATCTCCACTACGTTCGCTCTGGCCTTTTTTTCTCGTTTCTCTGTGTGTATATTTCATAAAACTCTGGTAATAATAATACAGCAGAAACAGGCAATAATCGTCATAGATGCTGCTGCAGCATAAATAAAAATGATTCGAATGGGGTGCTCGTCTCTGTGCCTCTCGCATATGTGGTGTCTGTGTATGTGTCTCTCTGTGTGTGTACGTATTCGAGAGAAGTACACCACTGGATGATTGAGTTGAATGGATAAAAGGCAAAGTAGGAACAGCACCAAAAAAAAATAACAGCAATACACAAACACTCATATACACACACACACATACAACCATACTTCGGCTCAATCAACACATTCGCAATCTGTGAAATCTCCCCGCAGAGCAACCACCTTTTTGATATCATCATCGTCGTCATCATCGTATGTGCTCGACATAATTTTATTTGAAACGTTTTGGTAACGCGTTTCAGTAGAACGGATGATGTCGTATTGGTTACACGTCGTTCGACCCTCTCGTGCATTTTATCTCTCATGGTTTTTCGGTTTCCGTTGCGAAAAATGAACTATTATTAACCAATTTGAATTGATCTCGAGTCGAGTGGTCGCTTTGCATTCGTCGCGTCGATGAAAAAAAGTTTTTCCAAAAGTTGAACTGTGATCGAACCATGTGCAAACTAATTGGATTTTAGTGAATTCCCAGAAAGAAAAATTATCAAATCAACTTTTATCTTGTTTTGTGTCCCGAAAAGATTTAAATGGATTTGCCGAAATAGTGTGAATCAGTGAATCTATTACACGTTTGAACTGAGACTTTGATTTCCAGCAATAAAAATTTAGTTTCCGTGTTTGGGTTGTTTCTTTCTTCATCGGTTTTTTTGCCTTTCGATCGATTCGGTGAAACAAAATTACGATAAGATGTCAACTGCATTTTTAGTGGATAACATTTTAAATGACAAAGAAGATCGTTCGGATTCAATAATTTCGGATACGGATTCAGATGCGACATCGGATTTAAAAGACTCGGTGTGCGGTTCACCCGAATCAAATGAAAATATCTCACCATCGCATCATTATTATCACCATCATCATATACATCAACAAGCATCCGGTAATACAAGCGCCCAACTCTCGGAAACATTACTACGAACATACAACACCATGATACGGAGCAGTGATTGTGCCACATCGGATGACCATTCGGACGATGCAAGCAATCACTTCATCGAAATGTGTTGTACAAAGTGCGGTCACTTTCAGCAATTAAACAAAACGCGTAGCAACAACGGTACAAATGGCAGTGGTACGAAATGCATTCAAACTCAAATACTATATCTTTAAGTTGGCCAAAACATTGTTTCGAAATGCTCGATCGGAATTTGTGCATTGATTGAATTTGGGTTTCGAGAGTTTGCAAAATGATTTTAGAAAGTCCGAGTCGACAAATTCTGAGATTTAAATCGAAGAAAAAGCCTGTTCAATCGAAAAATCAACGCTAAATTTTTGATTTTCCATTTCTGATACTCTTTCTGCTCGAATGCCATCTTCAATCCTGCGATCAGATTGGCGCGATGTCAATGTTTTGCTTACTTAAAGATTTTCTCCCCTTTTTTTTGTTCGGTGCCATTAGGTAGTGACGATAATAATGCCGATATCGATACCGATTTCAAGTGTGATAAATGTGACAGCAATGAAGGTGTTATTAGTAGCCAAAAGGAAACCACAACCACGATTTTAAAGGACAATGCAAAACCCATATTAAAATTTAGTGTGTCAGCGATTTTAGGTGATAAAAAGGAATGTGCCAGAGTTAGACACGGTAAGCATACAACCACTTGAAATGTCTTCATTTTTCGCTTTCGTCTTTAATTGAGGTTTGGCTTTTCGATTTGGTTTTGAGCTGACACGGATTTAATGCAAGTTCGAAGGTTAGTTCATAAGTGGTATTTCGGCTTATGATCAGCAAAATGAACTAAACTATAAGTACAAAAAAAATCCGTTATGATTTTGATTCCGTGAAGTGTAAGGAGCTTCATTGCATCAATCCTTTCATCGTTTTTAATGAAACAAAACTAAAAAAAAACGCAAGTTGATTGTACTTTTTGGGGTCAAGTTTCAATAAATTAATGAAAAAGTATGAGCAGTTGTGTAATTTTAGTCCTCCTTATTTCAAACTCCGCAAAAAAAAACTGGTCAATTGCAAAAAGAAACGTTTTAATCACTACCATTGATGAGATGTCCATTCTTCTACTGGTCAATTTTACTTCTCAAATCCTCCTAAACATTTGAACTTTTAATCGTTTTTTATTCGAATCGAAAATCTAAAGCAAATTCCAAGTCAACTCGATGTATAATATTGAATTAAATAAAACGGGTGGATTTAAAACTCTCGTTAAAATTCAAATACGTTCGTATCATCTGTCACCGTCTAAAATGCGACAGTTTAAATTTCAAATGTTTTTGGTAGAAAATAAAGAAATTAAAAAATGCAACATGATCTCCCTAGAAAGGGAATAGTTTGAATACAAATTGAGCTTTGAATATAAACGAGTTGGATGAGTTCATTGCGTATTTGTTGCCATCGTCGAGTCTAAGTCTTTCGGTTGCCAATTACCGTTACAACGAATGCAATAAATAAATTCCATTTTCAATGCGAGAGCATCAACTACAAATGCAATGCATGTATGCGATGGAACGACCGCAAACCAAAAACTGTCGACCACGTAACAGACAAAAAGCCAAACGAGTAAAAAACAAACTATGAAAATAAACCTAGTTGATCCGAAACAATAACAATTCGAAAATTGAAATAAAAACAACAGAACCAAACAAATAGGCTGTTTTTTATGCATTGGGAAAAGCAAGCAGACGCATATACTGGGAGATCTTTTGTCGACGGTCTTCAACACTGCGACTCTGTCGATCCTTAACAAAAACAGAGGCGTTTTCATGACAATAAATTTTATAACGATTATTAGAGTTCGCAGTGCGCAACCGAACGAGGAAGATAGAACTCGAAGCTGAAAAAAAAAACGAAACAACAAAATTTTCACAATAATGAAATGAATGTTTAAAAAACGACAAACATAAACAACAATCAATTGGGATACATTAATTTTCGAGCATGTTGGGTTGGTTTGAACAAAGCCATACCATGTGCTGTTCGGTATACGTACACATTCACGGTAGTAACAAATGCATAAGATTTGCGCGTTTGCATTTGAAATAAAAAAAAACCCTGCCAAATGCAATCAAACAAGCCGACTGAAGACGACTCTGTCGATGATGAAAATAATGAAATGTTGCTGATCCATTGTGTTGCGTTTGAATTGCTGTATGTGCGTGCGTGTGTAAGCTAGATAAAGCCGGTACAAAGCCCACAAGTAGGCTGTAAAAACATAAATAATTTGTGTGATCATGTGCTTAAACGTTGATGCGTATTTAATTCACGTTCAAATCCTCGGTTAGTTCATCATTCTATCATATTTTTTTTCTCGTCGCTGTGCCGTTTCTTTTAGAATTGATGATCCTTTTTACTAGAACATTATGAATGTTTTCTTTCGAACAAGGTTCATATTGCCTAAAGTAGAATTTCCGTACTTATTTCAGCATTTGCTCGTTGCAAACACAGAGAAGGCGCAAAAAGAGCAGAAAAATCGTTTTTTTAGAGAAATAAAAAGAGAGAATTGCCCCTGGATTTAAATTCAGTTAGAAAAGCAATTTCATAATCCATACACATTAAAGTTTCGTTATACCGCACACGCAGATTCACAAATAAACGCACTGCCGTTTCAGGTACATACATTGTTGTGCAAACGTTCACCGTTCATAATCTTGTGAATTTATTGATACATCGTTATTGATGTCTTTTAATAGCTACTTTTTATTGTTTGCAACACACAGCCCAACGGTGAATACTTATTAATAATCGAATAAAAAAATAGCAGCAACAGAAATAAATGTTTTATTATTGTTGAAGAATCGCATTTTTTTGGGGTGATTTTGGCTTGTTTTTTTTTATTCTTTGCACATCGACTACATTACTTAATGCCACACTCTTCGAATAGTTTTATTGTGTGGAATTTTGTGTTCACACAGAATTTCATTAGTTTCTGGGACGGACGGCACACGCGATTTATGTAAAAATACGACATTCAATCAATATTGTTTGTGATTTATCGATGCCAAAAATTGTGTGATTTTTTACGAGAAAAAAGTGGGTTCTTTTCGGTTTGAAATTCACATGAATATCGGGCCATACAAACCGTAGTTGAATACGCCAGATTCTAATTGCAAGTTATGCCATTTTTCACAATCCATTTATTGACGTATCAATTAAAATGATGAATATGATCAATTTTTGGATTATGCATCATTTTAATTAACACCTCGAAATGTGCCAAATCTGCGAAAAACGTCCACTATGACGTTATGAAATTGCGACAAAACGGAGACAACAACTTCAAAGTTCATTTTTTCAGTTGGCTAAAAATAGCATATTGAGTTTGTGTATATTTTTTTGTCTGACTTTTGACTACGTAATTCAAAATATTTTTTTTTTCGAGTACGGTATTTTAAATGACTTTAACTGAGCTAGCAAATTCAATTTGTTTGACACTTTATTACGATCGAGTTTGACAAACAATGCATTGCCAGCACAAATGCTTCCCCGGTTATTTTTCGATGTTGTTGTTGTCTTCATTTAGTTTTGTGCTTACTAAGATTTTCTAATAAATTTTGATGTTTACATATTCGTTGAACATTTTGGTGTCATGATGACACTGTCATCATATGCAATCAACTTTTAAAAATTGAAATTACAATCGATTTACGGAAACGACAAAGTTTATCAAGCAATCACGTTCAATTTAGTGTCATCTGTGTGCTGTTTTATGGCAAAATAGAAAAAAAAAATTTAATGAGAGAAGCGGACCAAAGTGAAGGAATAAAAAAAATTGCTCCCAAATGTTGATCACGTTTTTATGCTGCACATAAAACTGGAATGTGGATGAAACTTCTCACATGTCAACTTAGTTTTATCTGGCTCAAATGGGCCACTTTGAAAACATTTTCGAAAAGAAGCAACGGAAAAAAAAGCGGTGAAGTAAAACGGTGCTGTTGTAATTTTGTGAGTCAATAAAAAAGAATGAAAAAGAACGAGCGAGCGAGAGAGGAGAGTGATTCAATGTGTTTCGATGGGCGCTGGAGTTCATAGATCGGAAAAGGTGTCCATTAAAGTGGCAAGTGTGTTTAATGTCGATTTGAATCTCATTGAATGTTAACGAGATTGATGTGGAGCCAAATGCATCGCTCGTCCCGTCGTGGTGTTGTAAACGGAACGGAACCAACCCATCAAAAATCGACCGAATAAAACTACCAACAAAAGCTTAACGACAGAATCAATGAGTGCTGGCAATATAGAGGCAATCACCATCACATTTTTTCTCGCTCTCTATCGCTATTTTTTTCCAGGGGCTTTTGGAGCCTTTTGGATTTCTTGGCCGATCAAATTTCCGATTTGCACATCGTACGATGGTTGGTAAAGTGGACAATTACATTTTATTGAACCCTAAACACAAACTTTGCTTTTTCTTCGAATTTTTTTGACACTCTAATCGACTTTCGTTTTTAAAGAGCGGAATCAAAAAGTTGTCGAAACATTTATGGAAAAACCCCAATCGAACGATTAAAAGAAATGTTGATTCAATATTTATGATATCAGCAGAAAATCGAATGAAAAACAAAAATAAACAAGCAATATCACAATTGAAATGTACAGTGAAACAATGTGCGCAAATTGAATAATTTCGAATCGAACAAGTTTATCTGTTGCGCGATGAAAATTTATAGCAGCCTTGTATTGTTAATGGATCAATCGGCTTTTGTTCGCGCGCCTAACGAAAATTGTAAACAAATATTATTTATTATTATCAGATGCTGATAATTGTTGGCACGCGTGGCGGGCGCATGGCGCACGTTGATTTCGAATATTGCAATCGCACTCACAATTGTGTTATTATGTTTAATTATTTGTCGGTATGAAAATTTTCATTCAACTATTATTAAGAGCTGGAGCGTCGATAGAGCGAGAGAGCGAGAGAGCGAGAGAGGGACTAAGAAAGAGTGGTGTGAGTAAGTGAGAGTGTTAATAATCCGTTCATCTATTGCATATATTAAAGGCTGTTTGAGGCGGCTCATATGTTGAATGCCATCGAGTGTTACGATGATGCGTCGCACACAACAACAAAAGGTCCCAAAACGCACATGAATTTTGCACATTCAATAAATGATGAGCCCACAACTCTCTCTCTCTCTCTCTCTCTCTCTCTCTCTCTCTCTCTCTCTCTCTCTCTCTCTCTCTCTCTCTCTCTCTCTCTCTGA